TCAAGTGGCGGCAGCGTGCCGTAGGCCTGGAACCTTCCAAATATTCACTGCAGACAAATCTTTCCCTTAGAACAACTCCATATTTTCAGCTCAGCCCGAACTCCCCGCTACAATCAATATTGTAAATTTTATTTTATTTCCTGTCTTATAATTCTACTTCTTATAATGATTATCGTAATTATCCATCATTTCACTTTTCTTATCATTATTATTGCTATTACTGGTACCATAATCATTATAATTATCACTGTCAATCTAATTAGTGCCATAATTACTTCTTGTTTATTTTTCTAATGACATAATTAACATGATCAATAAATAACATGCGTCAAGGAGTATGAAAATGTAGATGATCAATTATCCGTTTATGACAGGAAGATGACCCTTGTGTACCTTGGTAATTAATGATCGATTGTGTAGGCACCTAAGAGACAAGCACAGCTGGCGGGAAGCTTGAATGTCTCGATGGCGAAGGGGAAGTACTGATCATAGGGGTTGTAGACAAGGAAGCGGTGGTAGATGGACTTCTGCAGACACTTGGACTCGTAACAGTCAGGCACCAGAGGGCATGCATCAGCGGAAGTGAGACACTCTTCGATGCGTGTAGTCTGAGTGAAAGTCTGATAATGGGCATCGATATTGTTTACAACGACACGCCATTTTCCCTCGGTATTCTGAGCACGAAGGGGCCTAACGTAAGCGGTCTCTGATGGGCACAAGTAAGTTTCCTCATCCAAGGTGTTTGGTCGGTCCACAGACAACTCGGTGTTGAGGTCGGCTACGTCAGCGTACTTCTTGGCGAAGAGGTGATCGGCAGTGATGGCAGCCTTGATCTCATACTCGGGATACTCAGCGTCTTCCAAGCAGTAAGAGAGTGTGGAGTTATCAGCGCATGCGGGGGCAACCGTTGGGTCGCAGTAACCATGCTGGTGGCCGTAAGCAGGTGCATGATGACCGTAAGCGGGTTGTGGGTGATGGCCATAAGCTGGGGGATGGACGGAGCCCAGAACGAGTCCGGCGCATGCCAGAACGACCGACTGGAAGGCAAAGATGCACATTAAAAAAAATAAATAGATAAACGTAAATTCCCGAAGGAAGGCAACGGGAAACCACCGTACACTCCCTTGTACAACCATGGAATTCAACATGGTCGCCAACGTCAGGCTCTGATACGGCACACACACACACACACACACACAAAATAAAAATAAAAAACGTAAATTCTTCAGACAATACAGTGAAGACATATTTAACTGGCAGTATTGTTACAACCTACCAACATAAGAGCCATGGTGAAATGAGCAGATAGATACGAGAATCGCTTCTACTGTTGGCCAATCGTTATTATCGAGCTTATATACTCCAGGTATTGTTTGGCCACGCCTACACAGCACGAAGATGCGCGACTCCAAGGTGAGAAAAGCGTGAAAGTGCATAATTTTCTCTGTTCCTATTAGCACAGACAAGCGAACTACTTCCTAAACTTTCATCCCTCTTTCTCTATCCTGGAAGAAGAGAAGTGGACAAACACACAATCACATTCACAAAGCTACAAAAGCACATATATATACATGTATATACACACATGTGTGTAGACAGGTGTTGCTGTAGATGTCTGTATCGATAATGGATGCACATATATATATATATATATATATATATATATATATATATATGTATACATTACATGAATATATATATACACAGTGGGGGGGGGGGGGGCAAAGGATGGTAGACGAGCGAAGTGAAAAAAAAAAAAAAAATCTGAAGATTCTGATAATGTTTGTATCGATACGTATATGATTTGCACATATATATGTATACATTACATGAACATATATACACAGTGGGGTGGGGCAAAGGATGGTAGACGAGCGAAGTGAAATAAAAAATTATTCTGAAGGTAATGTTCTCTATAAATTACACCTTTATAATTCTCTTTATGGCATAAAGAGACTTATAAAGGTGTAATTTGTTAGAATTGATAAATTCAAAATTGTGGTCCTTCGGAGGTGGGGGGGGGGGGGGGGGCAAAGGATGGTAGACGAGCGAAGTGAAATAAAAAATTATTCTGAAGGTAATGTTCTCTATAAATTACACCTTTATAATTCTCTTTATGGCATAAAGAGACTTATAAAGGTGTAATTTGTTAGAATTGATAAATTCAAAATTGTGGTCCTTCGGAGGTGGGGGGGGGGGGGGCAAAGGATGGTAGACGAGCGAAGTGAAAAAAAAAAAAAAATTACAGTGGACGTAACAATTCTATCTTTTACATGAATGAAGAGATTGAAGTATCGGCGAGAGCATACCGGCTGTTCCTGGCATGACTAGTGGCGGTACGTGAAGAAAGCAGTTCTCCTAACTAACAGAGATTGTCGGTGGTTCTTTGGTGGTCATGGAGTGATAGATGATGTGTGAAGAGGCGATTCCTTGAGGAGCGTTGTGGTGGCGTTTTAGGCAGGAAGGTGACAGGAGCAGGCAGATGGCATCTTGTAGATGTCGATGAAGAGGCCCTTGTAGGGGTCACATGGATCATAGGAGAGGAGTCGGTGGTACACTGACTTCTGGGTGCAGTGGCTCTGGTAGCAAGGCGCAAGGGCGCGGCAAGCAGCCTCTGGGAACAGACAAGTCTCCAAGCGGGCAGTCTGGCTGTAGTAGTGAACGTCGTTGACAATGACGCGCCACTTGCCTTCCACATTCTGGGCACGTTTGGGCATGGCATAGACCACTTCGGAGGGACAGATGTAACCCTCAGGACCAGCCCAGTGAGTAGCATCATAGGGAGAGTCCCCAGTGGAGGCTCCAGTGTAGTATGAGTAGTCGAAGGCCTCCTCCTGGTCCTTGGTAATCATGTCTACTAAGTCATCAGCAGACTGGTCGGCTACGTCAGCGTACTTCTTGGCGAAGAGGTGATCGGCAGTGATGGCAGCCTTGATCTCGTACTCGGGATACTCAGCGTCTTCCAAGCAGTAGGAGAGAGTGGAGTTATCAGCGCATGCGGGGGCAACCGTTGGGTCGCAGTAACCATGCTGGTGGCCGTAAGCAGGTGCATGATGACCGTAAGCGGGTTGTGGGTGATGGCCATAAGCTGGGGGATGGACGGAGCCCAGAACGAGTCCGGCGCATGCCAGAACGACCGACTGGAAAGCAAAGATGCACATTAAAAAAATAAATAGATAAACGTAAATTCCCGAAGGAAGGCAACGGGAAACCACCGTACACTCCCTTGTACAACCATGGAATTCAACATGGTCGCCAACGTCAGGCGACGGCACACACACACACACACACACAAAATAAAAATAAAAAACGTAAATTCTTCAGACCATACAGTGAAGACATATTTAACTGGCAGTATTGTTACAACCTACCAACATAAGAGCCATGGTGAAATGAGCAGATAGATACGAGAATCGCTTCTACTGTTGGCCAATCGTTATTATCGAGCTTATATACTCCAGGTATTGTTTGGCCACGCCTACACAGCACGAAGATGCGCGACTCCAAGGTGAGAAAAGCGTGAAAGTGCATGTTTTTCTCTGTTCCTATTAGCACAGACAAGCGAACTACTTCCTAAACTTTCATCCCTCTTTCTCTATCCTGGAAGAAGAGAAGTGGACAAACACACAATCACATTCACAAAGCTACAAAAGCACATATATATACATGTATATACACACATGTGTGTGCAAACAGGTGTTGCTGTAGATGTCTGTATCGATAATGGATGCACATATATATATATATATATATATATATATATATATATGTATGTATACATTACATGAATATATATATACACAGTGGGGGGGGGGGGGGCAAAGGATGGTAGACGAGCGAAGTGAAAAAAAAAAAAAATCTAAAGATTCTGAAGATGTTTGTATCGATACGTATATGATTTGCACATATATATGTATACATTATATGAACATATATACACAGTGGGGTGGGGCAAAGGATGGTAGACGAGCGAAGTGAAATAAAAAATTATTCTGAAGGTAATGTTCTCTATAAATTACACCTTTATAATTCTCTTTATGGCATAAAGAGACTTATAAAGGTGTAATTTGTTAGAATTGATAAATTCAAAATTGTGGTCCTTCGGAGGTGGGGGGGGGGAGACCTTGAAGAGGGTAATTAGAGTCTTGGGTGGGCAACTGCCTCTTCACCCCCAACCACCACCGAATTGACACCTCTATATATATATATACATGTATATATATATCTTTATAGGAAAATCTATATATATATATATCTATATATATATATATTATATATATATATATATATAATATATATATATATATGCATAGCGATATCCACAATAAATAAATAAATAAATATATATATATATATATATATATGCATATATATATACACAGTGGGGTGGGGCAAAGGATGGTAGACGAGCGAAGTGAAATAAAAAATTATTCTGAAGGTAATGTTCTCTATAAATTACACCTTTATAATTCTCTTTATGGCATAAAGAGACTTATAAAGGTGTAATTTGTTAGAATTGATAAATTCAAAATTGTGGTCCTTCGGAGGTGGGGGGGGGGGGGGCAAAGGATGGTAGACGAGCGAAGTGAAATAAAAAATTATTCTGAAGGTAATGTTCTCTATAAATTACACCTTTATAATTCTCTTTATGGCATAAAGAGACTTATAAAGGTGTAATTTGTTAGAATTAATAAATTCAAAATTGTGGTCCTTCGGAGGTGGGGGGGGGGGGGGCAAAGGATGGTAGACGAGCGAAGTGAAAAAAAAAAAAAATCCCACATAAGCACCTGTTGCAAAATCCTTCGAAATCAAAACGTCAAACGAAATAAAAATCAAATATTGCGTACCTCATGGTATGCATATTGGAAGGGAGATTGAAATCTAAAATACGTAAAATATTTATTGTCATGTTGCACAAAGGGGATTTTGATATCATTAATAATCATTTATCATTTCCATCGATGTTACCACAGGAAGATGACCCTTGTGTACCTTGGTAATTAATGATCGATTGTGTAGGCACCTAAGAGACAAGCACAGCTGGCGGGAAGCTTGAATGTCTCGATGGCGAAGGGGAAGTACTGATCATAGGGGTTGTAGACAAGGAAGCGGTGGTAGATGGACTTCTGCAGACACTTGGACTCGTAACAGTCAGGCACCAGAGGGCATGCATCAGCGGAAGTGAGACACTCTTCGATGCGTGTAGTCTGAGTGAAAGTCTGATAATGGGCATCGATATTGTTTACAACGACACGCCATTTTCCCTCGGTATTCTGAGCACGAAGGGGCCTAACGTAAGCGGTCTCTGATGGGCACAAGTAAGTTTCCTCATCCAAGGTGTTTGGTCGGTCCACAGACAACTCGGTGTTGAGGTCGGCTACGTCAGCGTACTTCTTGGCGAAGAGGTGATCGGCAGTGATGGCAGCCTTGATCTCATACTCGGGATACTCAGCGTCTTCCAAGCAGTAAGAGAGTGTGGAGTTATCAGCGCATGCGGGGGCAACCGTTGGGTCGCAGTAACCATGCTGGTGGCCGTAAGCAGGTGCATGATGACCGTAAGCGGGTTGTGGGTGATGGCCATAAGCTGGGGGATGGACGGAGCCCAGAACGAGTCCGGCGCATGCCAGAACGACCGACTGGAAGGCAAAGATGCACATTAAAAAAAAAAAAAATCCCACATAAGCACCTGTTGCAAAATCCTTCGAAATCAAAACGTCAAACGAAATAAAAATCATATATTGCGTACCTCATGGTATGCATATTGGAAGGGAGATTGAAATCTAAAATACATAAAATATTTATTGTCATGTTGCACAAATGGGGATTTTGATATCATTAATAATCATTTATCATTTCCATCGATGTTACCACAGGAAGATGACCCTTGTGTACCTTGGTAATTAATGATCGATTGTGTAGGCACCTAAGAGACAAGCACAGCTGGCGGGAAGCTTGAATGTCTCGATGGCAAAGGGGAAGTACTGATCATAGGGGTTGTAGACAAGGAAGCGGTGGTAGATGGACTTCTGCAGACACTTGGACTCGTAACAGTCAGGCACCAGAGGGCATGCATCAGCGGAAGTGAGACACTCTTCGATGCGTGTAGTCTGAGTGAAAGTCTGATAATGGGCATCGATATTGTTTACAACGACACGCCATTTTCCCTCGGTATTCTGAGCACGAAGGGGCCTAACGTAAGCGGTCTCTGATGGGCACAAGTAAGTTTCCTCATCCAAGGTGTTTGGTCGGTCCACAGACAACTCGGTGTTGAGGTCGGCTACGTCAGCATAGAGGGAGAGAAGCTTTTCATGGTGATACTCGGCTGCGTGTTTGATCTCGTAGGTGGGATAATGGTCGTCTTGGAGGCACCATGATTTGGTTGTGTTGGCAGCACATTCTGGCACAGCCGGCTCGTGTTCATGCTCATAGGAAGGTTGATAAGCGGGAGCATGGTGGTAAGAAGGTTGTGGATGGTATGAGGGCTGTGTGTGGTATGTAGGTTGATGGTGGTATGAAGTGCGTGCGTGGTGAGATGAGCTGTGATGGCTGACAGCAGGAGCACCACCCAGACTGATGCTGACGTGTGAGGTCTGGTCGGCCAGAACTGCGACCGCCAAAGACAACGAAACCTGCAACATAAAAATGGTAAGATTTGTGCATATTGATGAAACTTGTATCCATTATGCACATGGTATTTCGTGTGTACACGCATGAACACATCCATACCTACACTTATATGTGCGTATATATATATGTATTTATCTATAAATTTAGATCATATTGTACTATGAACTCACCAAGTAACGTAAAGCCATGCTTGCACTCTCAGCTCTCGGTGCCTTCGAACTGTAGCGACCGTGATGATGGGTGTCTTTATATAGGGAGCAGTATCCCTGCTCCCTCCCACTACCCCCCATTACATAACCGAACGGTGAAAGTAATTTCATTTAGAATCATAGATCATTTAAACGTACCCTCATGATTGTAGTTTGTTTTACACTACATATATTGTCCATATCTTAGCAAACAGTCACGAAAAAATAACGTGGAATAAGAACTATTAGAAAAGGTAACATTTCTATAAGCAAATAATTATAGTGAAAGGTATCTTTGGGCCGGCTAGCCCTGTCGCAGAAATAATAAGACGTTAGCCTTTCTCTGTCCTGTGTTTGGTTACGAACATCGTTATTTCTTATCTAATTATCTATCTATATATGTATGTATGTGAGTACACGACACGCATCCACACACACATTTGTCAAATAAATCTTTTGCTTTGTGAAGTTATTCGTTCCCATTCATAACTTTTCTTCTGTCGCAGTGATCACGGTTCTGCGGACACATGTATTTACATAAATGAAATTATATAAGTTTATATAAGATATACACACTTATATGCACACATATGTATATATGTACACACGCAGATATATATATATATATATATATATATATATATATATATATATATATATATATATACATGTATAGTTCCATATACATGAATATATGCATGTATACATTATATATATATATATATATATATATATATATATATATATATATATATATATGTGTGTGTGTATACAGTACACGCACATGTATATACATACTATATGTGTGTCTGTGTATGCATATATACCCAGAAACCTGGTATATACATATAAATCTATGTATACAGGTATCCATATGCATATATATACATAAGTATCTGGTATACATACATATATGTTTATACATATAAATATCTGGTGTGTTTATGTGTGTGTACGTGCAAGGTAGTAGGTATAAACTTAAAGAAAAGAAAATACACATACCAACACATGCACACACACACACGCATATATGTATATATATGTGAATATATAAATGCATATGTATGTGTGTGTGTATATATATATATATATATATATATATATATATATTATTTGTATACAATACATTATTCTACTGTAGTATGTGAATAAATTCACTTGTATATGTCTGCTTTACCCATTTCAGAAATGTTATACATGCTTCAGCTATTTCCATATCATATATTATATACACAATTTGTTACAGTAACTCTACTTATAGACACTAAGATAATCATAAAGAGAATGCTAATTGTTAACATTAACGTCTTAATTGGCATACATAATATTATTATTTATACATAATATTATATATATATGTACATATGTACGTATATATATATATATATATATATATATATATATATATATACACACACACACACACACTAGGTTCTATTATTAGTAGTAGTATATTCATTATTGTTATAAAAACCTTTATTTCCATAACATTGTTATATAATCATCACTTTTGTCATTACCATCACTATCATGATATCTTTTTATTATTACAATTATCGATATTAACCATGCAATTATTCCTTATCACTGTTTTTATCTTTATTATTGTGTGTTTGTGCTTACGTGTGTGTGGAAGAACATGTGTAAGTGTATGTGTCTTTTTAAGTTATAAAGCGGTTTATTGCATATTTTCCTCTGTTCTGCATATAAGGATTTAGGATAGACTGGGAATAAATGTGGAATACCCAGAAGGAAAAAACTCACTTTGGTAATACTTCTGTCCTGCACTTTGGTCGTGTTCTGAGTGGGGATTATATTTGTGCTCCCTCGTGGATTTCAGTTCGCAAAAGAATTAATATTTTTCAAAAGTTTCATGTGTGTGTGTTTGTGGTTATGTTTACAAGACAACCTGTGTGTAGCATGCTGCATTACTATATTTAGGGTACACTCTTTTGGTAAAGTCCCATAGCAGTGCTTAGTAATTCCATCAAAGGACTAAAGAGCTCAGAGGGACCATTAAGTGTTTGAGAGCTCAGAAGGACAAAGTCACATAGGAAAACAGTGCTTGACGTTCCGTACCTCCAGTGTTGCTATTAATTTTGTAAGGACCAAGTCACCTGGGGGGGGGGGCACTGCTTGATGATCTATATCTCCAGTGTTGCCATTAATTTTACAACTAAGGTATCACTTCTCGGCTTGAGGACCCGTTCCTCCTGACACATTAGTCAAAACATTTATGGAGTTGGGGCGCCAACTTTTCCATGTGCATCACCCTCGATAAATAGGTGACATACATAGTTTTATGTACTTTCCATGACTGAAAACATCTGCAGAAATCCCTTGTGAATGCAACTTGCTTCTCAATGAGCATCGTGCCCTCAAAGAGCTTACGCTCAGTCCTAGCCGGGAATTTATGAGTTTACTAAGGTTACATGTAGTCACTCAGCGTACGCTATTTCTGTTTTCACACTTACATATCCAATATCCAGCACAAATTGTATTTTCTTCCCCCCTTCTCTTACACAATATTCACGCCTACATACACAACACACGGTTTCCGCACCTACTAATCGGGTGGTGGCATCGTGCCGTAGGCCTGGAACCTTACATATATACACTGCAGACGAATCTTTCCCTGAGAAGAAAATCCATATTTTCAGCTGAGCTCGAACTCAACCAGATACATTAAATTGTACTGGGTTTATGCCCCACTACAATTATTAGTGTAAATTTTTATTTCATTTACTAATTCTTATTCTTATAATAATTAAGATAATCATTCTTATAATAATTATCAATCCTTTTGCTATTCTTCTCCTTATAATTACCATTACTGTTATCATAATCATTATAATTATTATCATCAATGCAATTACTGCCATAATTAATTCTCGTTTATCTTTTTAATGACATAATTAACATGATCAATAAATAACATGCGTCAAGGAGTATGAAAATGTAGATGTTGAACAATTATCCGTTTATAAAAAAAAAATATTACAATGGATGTAACACTTCTATCTTTTACATGACTGAAGGGGAGAGCGGAGTATCGGCGAGAGCATACCGGCTGTTCCTGGCATGACTAGTGGCGGTACGTGAAGAAAGCAGTTCTCCCGGCGCGTAGGGCGTTGTTCACTTGAAGAGCTAACAGGGACTGTCGATTATTTCTTGGCGGCCATGGAGTGTTAGATGATGTGTGAAGAGGCGATTCGTTGAAGAGCGCTGCGGTGGCGTTTTAGGCGGGAAGGTGGCAGGAGCAGGCAGATGGCATCTTGTAGATGTCGATGAAGAGGCCCTTGTAGGGGTCACACGGATCATAGGAGAGGAGTCGGTGGTACACTGACTTCTGGGTGCAGTGGCTCTGGTAGCAAGGAGCAAGGGCGCGGCAAGCAGCCTCTGGGAACAGACAAGTCTCGAGGCGGGCAGTCTGGCTATAGTAGTGAACATCGTTGACAATGACGCGCCACTTGCCGTCCACATTCTGGGCACGTTTGGGCATGGCATATACCACTTCGGAGGGACAGATGTAACCTTCAGTTCCAGCCCAGTGTGTGGCATCGTAGGGAGAGTCCCCAGTGGAGGCTCCAGTGTAGTAAGAGTAGTCGAAGGCCTCCTCCTGGTCCTTGGTAATCATGTCTACCAGGTCATCAGCAGACTGGTCGGCGACATCGGCGTACTTTTTGGCGAAGAGGTGATCGGCAGTGATGGCAGCCTTGATCTCGTACTCGGGATACTCAGCGTCTTCCAAGCAGTAGGAGAGAGTGGAGTTATCAGCGCATGCGGGGGCAACAGTTGGGTCACAGTAACCATGCTGGTGGCCGTAAGCAGGTGCATGATGA